CTCACAGACACACACACACTTGGACGTCCTCATGCACAGAAAGAAAGTGTTTTTAGGGGGCTGGAGAGATGGCTCAGCACTTAAGAGAACTGCTCTTCCAGAGGACCCGGGTTTTATTCTCCACACCCACACAGTAGCTCACAACCAACTATAGCCGATCCAAGAGGATCGGATGCCCTCTTCCGGCTTCTATGGTCAATGCACACACGGTACACACACATATATTCAGGCCAAACACCCATACACACAAAGAAAAGGGGAGAGGGTATTTTCAGAAGCTGGGAGACAGCTCAGTGACACAGCACTTGCCTGGCATACGTAAGGCCCTGGGTTCACTCCCAGTACCACAAAACTTACAAAGTGCTCTCATTAGAAAGAATTTTACCACAAAGAGACAAAGAATTCGTTTCAGCTGAATGGTGCCTCCAGTCACCACAATTTTTGAAATGTCTGAAGTATCTGCCAAAGACCCTAAAAACAACTGCAGAGCCTGAAATAATGACACCGGTCTCATTATCACCCCATCTTCAGAGAGGTGGAGTTTTTCAAAACTATCTCACTCAGACCTAAACTTGGAAACCGTCTAAGAAGACTTAAGGAAGAAATAAGGAAATAAGGATGTGAACAGGACAGGGAGAGGAGACAGGCACGAAGCAGGCACTACCTGTGCCTCTTAGTTGACTAAGCTCTGAGTTCACCTAACCAGGGTAACTGGCGAGCCTGCTCCCTGGACTGCTGCAGGTCCAAAGAGCATCACAGGGACTGTGGGAGGAGGCTTCACTTTTCTAGTTGTTTGGAAGCACGGCCCCACTGTGAAGGCCAGTGGCCCTTAAACTCACAGTTCTGCCTCAGCCTCCTGAGCGCTGCTGTTACAGGCATGTACTGCTAGTGGTGTGGTTCAAATAGACACAAATCTTGACTTTATTAGAGCTAGATAGATAAATACATACATACACACACACATACATACATACATAGGCACTAAACTTCCCCAGACATTTCCTTACCAGTAAGATGGTCCTTATGGTTCAAAAGTTTTAGGTAACTCCAAAAAACACTTTGACATAAGAATAGAGAAAATTCAAATATGTGTATGTGTAAAGGTCAGCGTATCATTTCATTAGACATAGCTGAGGAAAAGATGGGCCACTGTATACATGTGCACCAGATCACATGTTGTTTTCTACAAAGAAATAACACCAAGAACACAAGTTTCAGAAGATCAACTACTACAGAAGAGGCAGAACAGAAACTTTCTCTTCATTTTCTGTTACAGTTTTCCAAGTAGTCAGACCTCCAGGTGGTGCACACATTCATTCAGGCAAAACACTAAAACATACAATCAAAACTACATCTTAAAAACAAAAAAGAAATTCACAAAATCTGATCACAGTTCATATTGTATTCACACAAGCCCTCTTAGTCAGGGAAATGCTATAGAAATTTAAGTCCATATTTATCCTTTAGCATTTATTTGACAGTTCATTTGGGTTTATTCTGGTTTTTCCTAAAATAATGTTTTTTTTTGTTTTTTTTTTTTTTTTTGGTTTTTTCGAGACAGGGTTTCTCTGTGTAGCTTTGCGCCTTTCCTGGAACTCACTTGGTAGCCCAGGTTGGCCTTGAACTCACAGAGATCCGCCTGGCTCTGCCTCCCGAGTGCTGGGATTAAAGGCGTGCGCCACCACCGCCCGGCTAAATAATGTTTTTTAAAAAAAAATCCTAGAAAGGAAATTCTTCCTGTATGTTCTTTCTATACTGTAAATTACTTCCAAAAAGCTGGTGAGAATATAAGGCAAAAACAATCAGCCAATCCACTGTAAGGAGGACAAGTATCACTGTCACTACAAACCAAGAACACACATTTCTCCATTCTGTACCTGACTCTACTCTCTGCTATTCTCCAGAGAGACGCAGAAGCATAAGCAAAAGGTAAATGCACATCATAACTCCAATTAGCAACTTCAGAGCCTTGGTGATACTAGTGTGGGGGGAGATAAGCACCGGTGAGTAGGGAGAAATCAGAACTCCTGTATCCTGCTAATGGACATACAGCTTCTACATAGCAAGGCCTCAAAACTTAAAATATATAAGCCAGCAATTCTATTTCTGGGTATGTGCCCAAAAGAGAGGAAAGCAGGGTCTCTCAACAGACACCTGAACACTCATGCTTGCATCATTCACAACAGTCAAAATGACGGAATGAATATTAAACAGTATGTGCTACATCTACATATACACTGAAATATTGCTCAGCCTTTAATAAGAGTAAAATACTGAGACATGCTACAACCTGGATAAATCTTACAAACATCATGCTAAGTGAAATAAACCAGTCACAAAAGGGCAAATATTACATGACTCAAAACAGTGACCCTCACAGAGGCATGAAGGGGAACGGAAGTTGCTGGGGGCTGATGGGAAAACAGGGCACAGAGGACATGAAAAGATGGTAGGTGGATGGTTGTGACAGACACACAACAATGGGAACACACTTCCTGCCACTGAATTGAAGCTTTAAAGATGGTTCAGAGCTGGGCTTTTAATCCCACTTTTAATCCCAAGCAGTTAATAAAGCATCTACATCTATTTTAACTGTGCATACTCGAAAGGGGAGGGAGGAGAATGAGAAAAAACATTGAAATTTTTCTCATGAGTGCCTCTTTACACCTCTTCCATGAATGCTCAGTTCATTTAAGTGACTGCATGAGTCTTAAGGAATAAATGTAGTGATTCAGCTACTGAATTTCTTCTGAACCTAATAAAACATTTAATCTGGGCTGCTGGAAATAAAGTTCTTCCCCTGATAGAGAAGCTAATAGTTATCCCATGCATGTCTACATCAGATGAAATGAGTGATGAATCCAGGATGTCTCCTGACCTTTCTATTTATTCCCTAGAATTTTCCTTCATGTTTTTCTTATAACATCATATAATCTAGTCTCATTTTTACTAACAATATCTTAAGTCAAAAATCTTCTAGCCAGGCATGGAGGCAAATATTCAGGAGGCAGAGGTAGACAACCTCTCTGAGTTTCAGGTCAGCTACAGAGTCAGACCCTGTCTCCAAAAACAACAGTGTTCTCGCCCTCAAAACTTCCTGGAGCTCATCTTCACTACTTGGCAGGTAGATCATCCTTTTTTCCTTTCTTTGGTGCTGCAGCTCAAACTCAAAGTCTCAGGAATGCTATGCAAGTGTCCTACCACTAACACCCTCCCTAACCCCATGTATCATCTTTCCAGAAATCAGCACTCAGATAGTTTCTACCAGTTCAAGTATAAACACTGGGATCTTACTTATGAATTACCACCTCTTTAAGAAAAAGTGTTCCCAACAGGCATAGAGGTACATGCCTTTGATCCCAGCACTAGGGAGGCAGAGGTTGGGGGATCTCTGTGAGTTCAAGGCCAGCCTAGTCTACAGAGTACATTCCAGGACAGCCAGGGCTACAAAGAAACCTTGTCTCAAAAAAAAAAAAAAAAGAAAGAAGGAAAGAGAGAGAAAGTAAGTAAGCATTCCCATAGAAAAATCAGACACCTGAAATACCCTCATCTAAACTTGAGAATCATACCTTCTGATTCTACCTACACACTGCTACAAAAATTAAGTATGCATTTTGGCCAGGTGTGATGGCACACATCTGTAATCCCAGCACTCAAGGGAGAGGCAAGAAAATCATCACCAAGTTCCAGGCCAGCCAGGACTACATAACAAGACTCTGCCTCAAAAACCAGGGGAAAAAGGACAGAAAAGAAGAGAAACCGAGGGAGGGAGGGAGGGAGGGAGGGAGGGAGGGAGGGAGGGAGGGAGTGTGCATTAATAAACTAATAAACCAGGTTGTCTGGTTTCCTCTGAGCTATTAAAAGTCGTATCCCCTTCTTCCTCATCCTTAAATACTCAGACAAAATTTCATCTTCAAAGCTTCTAATGTTCCTACATATACCAGCTATTGATCTGATACATTTCAAATAACTCCTATTCACAAACATGAAGCAAACAGATGAAAATGAAAATGGACAGAGTGATCACATATTAAAACGAAAAAATGAAAGGTGTAATTCAGAAAGAAAAAACTCAGAGCTCATATCGAAACCTTCCTCTCATATATACTTCTGTATATACAACAGGCCTAGTAGTACACACCTCCATCCCAGCACGTGGGGAGAAGAGGCAGAAAGATCAGCAGCTCAAAGGCAGTTTCAAGAGTTCAAGGCCAGCCTCGGCTACATAAAATCCTGTCTCCAAGAACTGAAATTCCTTGCTCTTAATATACTGTGAAAATTAAAATATCATGCAAGTATGATCACCAAATATTTATATTTGTATTATGTGAAAGTGCAAATGCATGTTATTAGTGATAAGCTCTACTTTCTTGATCTTTAAAATTCAATATTTTCAAACTCCACTTCTTTTAATGCAAATTAGTAGTACTATCTATTTTACTGGGGTCTACTTTCCAACAAAGACAGTGCAATTAATACATGTCAATAAGCAAATCAAGAATTTAAAAACACAAACAGGGCCAATGAGACAGTTCAGCAGATAAAGGTTGCTTGCTTGCCAAATGGGACCACTTGAGTTCAATCCCTGAACCACATGGTTGGAGGAGAGAACCAACTCCCACAAACTGTCCTCTGATCTCCACATGTACATAATGTGCAAGTATACACACACATTCACACACACATACACACACACACACACACACACACACACACACACACACACACACAAAATGTTTGGAGAAAAAAAAGAAACAGACATTTCTGCCATTTAGTTTTCCAGCTTATCAACTGGAGAAATTCACCAATAGGATGGTAAGTCTCTTTGGATGAGCCCTTTAAAAAGGAAAGCAGGTAGACTTGGTCAATACCAGGAACTTCTGGGTCTGAAACCTCTCAACCCTCCAAGCTACAACGCATGAAGTTAACAGATATGAAATACTATGCAGACACTGATCAATAAGGAAAGGAAGGGGGTGTCACCTGTTCACGGGTCTTACCTTTCAGCAGCGGCAGAGGTGTGAGCTCAATGGGCTTGCCTTGAGATCTAAACTGTGAGGAGCTTTGCGACCTCTTCTGTCTGGCTTTTCTGACGGACTTCCGAGAAAATCCGTCTACTTTATCCACTGATGGAGGAGTAGTTGGTGCTGAGGACATATCCCTACTGAAGAGAAAGAGGTGACATGAACATGGTCCCAAGGTAAAAGTATTCATGTTATACACATTCTAAAATTCTCATATACAATATTCATGAAAACGGGAATACATACCAAAAAATATCAATTAAGAAAAGCCTTATCAGGGGGGAAATATAAAAAGTAACATGACCACCAACCATTAAATAAAATCAGAGCTCTAGTGTACCAATCACTGCTCCATTAGAATCATTAAAAACAAGCTTGCCTGGACTTCAAGTGTCTATACTGTCTGCCCATTTTAATTGCATAGCTATTCCCATCTTGGGATAGCTAAAGCGATTTTGGAGCTATCCTGAAGCTGGAAAACGTCCATAGAAACATTTTCCCAACATATTTAATATTATGAATGGGCTAAAACCCTTTCTGCACTTCAAGAATCTACACAAATGAGGCTAGGTATGGTAGCCAGTAATACCAACAGTCAAAGAGGTTAAGGCAGGAAAGGTTATGGGTTCAAGGCCAGCCTAGGCTACACATAGCAAGCTTGAGGCCATCCTGGGACACACAGTGAGAGGAGATTCTATCTCAAAAAAACAACAAACAAACAAAACTACATCAGTATCTATCTGATGGCAAGGTAAAATGTACAATTACTGACACTTTCTAAACAGGACTTTTGGTGCAATGTGCTGCGATTGCTATTATGAGCTACCACACTGCAAATGAGGACAGGCTAGATTACTTGAACGAGAACACACAAAAGGCATAATGAGAATTATTTCAAAGCAGTCTTTTTAAATGAAGCTATCTTAAGTTATTCACGTAAAACAAACAAAACTATGATTAAACCTAACACCAAGCTGAACTGCAAACAGAACTTCACAGCCTTCCAAGATGAAGTTGGGTCTGAGTTCAAATACTGTTCACTTCCATCAAACCAATGGAACCGACAGAACAGCTTTCTGCAATTTTTTTTAATCTCTTGAAATTATTCAAAAGGATAGATGCTAAAAGTCCCAAGCATTAAGCTCAGCCTCATTCGCCAAACTAAACAGATGTCATCATCCAGGTGGCACTGAGGCTCCATGCAAGATTAATGGCAGCCGGATAGCCAGAATGCATACAATGAAGTGCTCAGATGCAGTCACTCGACTGGCACACCAACACCTTAGGCAAGTGCTTTTTTCACTTCCAAGGAGTAAGATAGTTGCCTCCCCCATTTGAAAGGCCGAACAGTCATCTGGACTACCTGGATCCAATCAAAACAACGTAAGCTTGGGGGAGAGGAGTGAACAATGTTGAGGTTCAGTTTGGACTTTTGAAGACTTCTTGATTCTTTCATTAGAAAGTTATGTCGTTTTGTTTTGTTTTTTGGGGTTTTTTTTTAACTATAATTTAGCCTTAAATATGTGACAGATTAAAAACAGAATTGTAGTTTATAAACACCGTCAAAAATGTCATATTACTTTAAAATCTAGTGATGGCATCAGCAAGAAGTTCCACATCAAACTGGTAGGTTGTAAATGTAGGGACGTGTATTGCGATACATATGTGACTATTTAGATTTCATTCCAGCCCTAGGAACACAAGATTTCTGCAAACCTCCTTCCTCCATCACTCAGTTGGTCTCTCTCTTCCCCTATCTCTAACGATGATCTATAGCTAGCTTTCTTTTTAATCATTTGCCTCTTAGGCGCTCAGCTCTGAATGTCAAGGATCTCCTCAACTCTAAAGCATTGCAGAACTGATAACAGCGGGGTCCCTGCCCAGGGAAACAGGTTTCACCTGGACCACTGCGCCCGAAGCTTTAGCATTCTCCAAACAGCAGGCAAGCAACCGGGGCTTTTCCAAGGGGAAGGAAGAGATCAGGGAAGTGGCCTGTTTGTCTGTAGGTATGTTCACATAAACCCCAAGCCCGGGAGAAGCTGCGCGGCCACAGAATCTTCCTCGCTGCTCCCCCGCCCCCGCCAGTGGATAAAAGGGGAGGGGGGGGGGAAGAAACGCCTCAAAAGCCGGAGGGAAAGGGGCAGGGAAGGCAGAGTGGAAGAGAGGTGGTGGCCTCCAAAGCCTCTGCAGGTAGATCAGACAAGTGGGCCGGGCGCTTGCTCCCGCGCACCCCACCCCGCCGCACCCCTCGGCCGCCCGGGGCCTGGCCTTCCCGAACCCGCCGCTCGGCAGGTTCGCCGGGAGACAAGCCGCGGGACCGGGAGCTGAAGTTACCTTGAAGCTCCTGGGGAAGAATCGAAGATGATCTGTGGCTGCGCTGGGCGGGCGGCAGGCTAGGGGCCGCGGCGGGGGCGGGCGGGGGCCCGGGACGCACAAGGGGAGGTCCGGGCAGCGGCGGAGAGCCCCGGGCTACAGCAGTCCGGGGCGACGTCCCTCCGGTTCCGCGGTGGCGGCGGTGCTTCTAGGCCTCTCGGCTGGCCCCCAAACCTCAGCGCTCCGGCAGTGGCAGCGGCGGCCTCACGAGCCTCCCCCGCGGGCCCGTCCCATCAAATCGGTACCGACCCGGTTGCGGCTCGGCCGGTGGCTCTTCGTTCACATTCCCGGCGGGCGGCGCCTCTGCTCGTTGCACCGGACCCGGCGGCGGCGGCGGCGGCGGCGGCGGCGAGGCGGGGAGGGGGGAGGAGGGAGGAAGCCTGGATCTGCAGCGGCAGCGAGCACGGGAGTCGGGAGGAGGAGCTGGAGCCGCCGGAGCCGCCGCTGCCAGAGCCGCCGTTCGCTAACCCGCGCAGGGTCCCCGTCAATGCCCCTTTCTCTCTCCTATTGTCAATATCACCGGGCGGCTGAGTCCATGGCACACGCGCAACCGAACCTCCTGGCTGGCTGAGCCCGCCTCCGACGCCCGCCCACTGGAGACTTCAAACGGGAAGCGAGACTTCATTGGTCCTCGGGCGCCTTCACTCCCCGGCCAGCACGTTCGGCTGAGAGCTGATCGGGGATTGGCGGCGCGGGGAGGGGCGGAGAAACAGGAGGGGTGTGAAGAGACGAGGCCCTTGATTGGGCGAGGCGCCGGGGACCCGGATGCAGCCGCGAGCTCGGGCGGCGCGACCGCCGCTTCCGCCGGGGCGTCTGAAGTAGGGAACTGCGGCGGCGGCGGCGGCGGCGGCGGCTGGGCCTGCGAGGAGCGCGGCGGGCGCGTCCGGAGCTGGAGCTTCCGCACGGCGCGACCCTTGCGGACGGCGAAGCGTCTTCGCTGGGGATTCCGAGAGCCACAGTGCGGCAGCCCCGGTGCCTCACGGTTCAGCCCGTTAGAGCCCCACTCTGCACGGACCCCCCGCGCTTCCCTGTACCGCTCGGGTCATCGCGGCCGAAACACCCTCAGTGGCCTCCGCTCAACCGGTGGGAGGCCTGGCCACGGGTTGGACTCTCACCTGGTCTCTTAACCCCCCGAAAGTCAGTTCTGATGATCAGCGCCTAATGCTCCTGCGGATCTCGGCGGAGGCCAGCGCTCCGGGAGCTCCTGCAGATGGGGAACGCTGTCACCAGCCTGCAGCCTGGCATTCAGATTACCCTCAGTCGCTGGTTTCCGGGCTCCGAAGTACCCAGCCCCCAACTTGACATTTTAATTGACAGTTGGAGTCTGAGTTTAATAGAGAGGACTTACCTCAATCTAGAACAAGTACTAAAATACTTAACATGTGTGGTTTTGCATCGTTGCTGAGCCCTAGGCCAAATGGTACATTTCCAGAGAATATTCTTAGACTGTCGGTCAATTTGAATGCAAGCTGCATACATTCGTTGTGGAAAAGAAAAAAAAATCCTTAATAACTAACTACAAGCATCAGACTACCAGTTGCTCAAAATTTGGAAAACTGAGAGGGGGCCATACAGAAGAAATAATAATACTCACAATCCATCAACCCGAGCTAACCACTATCATTTTTGTTGTACTTTTAGTATTTTTATTATTTCATATATACATATTACTATATATATATATATATATATATATATATATATATATATTCTCTTTCAAACTAGAATGCTTCATTCCGTAGCCTACTTTCCCTCTCAGTATCATGTCACGTGTTCTGTACAGTTAGGGAACATACATATATATATAAAGCTCTCTATCATATACACAAGTGATAACAATGCATTCGTGTTTCTTGTTTGTGTCATTTGTTGCAAATTTCTATCCACTTGGGTAGAAAAATAATTCTGTGCTATGAAAGAGACTGTTACTGCCCTGAACTGAAATGGGAAACACGGAAAGATGGCTTAAATGAAAGCAGGCTCCCCCTATTGGCTCCAGACAACTACCTGCTGACTGGCTGAGTGTCCATTTTTGCTCCAATAAAAGTTCATTACCCTAGGCTGCATACTTATAAAGAATGCCTGTCTAGTTCCTGCCTTCAAGTAACTTATACTCCCATACCTCAGTCTTTAGAAATGTTTAATATCCTAGCCAAGCAGAGCCTGTTTCCTCAATGTCTCATTGGTAAGTGCAAAATTGAAACGAAGAAAGATTTTGAAGCCAGCTCAATTTCCCTTGGCAACAGTTGAACCGTTAAAAAGTAGTGCACGTTTGAAAGGCTCACAGCTGTTGCTTAGAACATTTCACATTTTGTAGAGTGAGGATTTTGCTTGCAAATTATGGATGTCTATAAAGACAATTCATTTCAAAGTCATTTCGTTTTCTATAAAATAGCTGAGCAACTGAATTGAGCAGGTCTTTTTAATGTGGAAACATCCTTGCTTATATGAGGTTTTATTCTCTGGACCAACAATTTCATAAGGAGATCCCAAGGGAAGTGGGGTGTACTCCAAGGATAGTGCCAGGCAATCCACTTGCAATGCAGAAGAAAAAATAATGAACGCATCTATGCTTAAATTTAAAAGGCATTAAGCTCAATATTTTATATACAGAATGAATGACCCATGGGCCTAGAACAGCATAAATATCCTCCGGGAAAGGCAGGAAGTGTGCATCCCCAGAGGATAGCAGAAAGGGTCTCTTCTACCTGTTGTGACATCCTATGTTTGCTGGATTCTATGATTATGTTATCTAGGTCTAATTAAATCCACAAAGCAGACAAACGGCCTTACAAGAGTCTCACAAAGCACAAAACAAGCAAATGCTAGAACTGAGACTGCTGTTCTAAAAGCTCTGACAGCCCTCCTTCAGAGTTGAAATGACAATCTAGTAGGTCCAACTGTATTGTAACTGAAATAGCAAAAGTGTCAAAACCATTTTAAATGTACATTTATATTCACCATCACCAACAGTGGACTATATCCCATGTACAAGTAGTATGACTGAGTCATAAGATAATGAAGCTAATGTGTGCCTATTTTATGAACAAATGTACATATATTTAGAACACGTGCTCCCAAAAATATGCTGATGGGAGCGCATGAACAAAGGAATTTTGATACTGCTATTCTAGATAGGGAAAGAAAAACATTTGATAATGTTGTTCCTCCATGGGACAACATTATCAAGTGACAAAATTCAATGCAGTTTTACCACATGGAAGCATTCACTATCCAGCTCTCAAAGCTGAGCTTATCAGGAAGCTGTTGGCAGCTTGACCATGTGATTAGAAGACACAGGGTATCAAGTGGTAGCTAACTAGTGAACTACAGAAGTGCTAAGACGAAGGACAGCATCATAGAACTGGTTATCTATTAGACATCTTCGGAGGGAAACTAATCTAGTTTGCAGGGGAAGATTGGGGGGGAGGCAGGAGTACATGAAGCTAGTAATGGCCTGAGGCGAGAAGCCTGGGAAAGCTGTGGTACCCACTGCTTTCTTAGGACGACAGTGGCAGGAGTCATCGCTACTGTGCCTAAGGAACTGATGTCATATTTCTTTGAGCTGCCTTTATCCATTGGGAAACACCCTTGGCAATGCCATTTCCTTGAGTCATAATTTTAATACTGCAGTTACATTTTCAGATGTACTTCAAAGGTTGTAGCTCTTTTACAGCTTTCTATGTGGCTAGGGTGGCTAATTATGGCTTAAGATTTAAATGGTTAGGTGTCCTAGTTCTCTACTTAGCAGCCTGAGCTGTAATCTAAACTGATAGAAGTGACGGTCTGAGGACCTTGGTTTGCACTGTCTTATTCTGAGTTCTGTGATGGATCCAGGAAGGGAGAGAGAGGCTTTATCTCTAGTGGGGAAAAAGGGGACGGGAAGAGCTGGGGACATGAGTCAGTCCATAATGTGCCTGCCTGAAAGTATAAGGCCGGAGTTCAGATCCTCAACACCCACATTAAAAAAAAAGAAAAGAAAGAAAGAAAAATCTGTATGTGGTCATGTGTGTCTGCAACCCTAGCACAGGAAGGGCGGATGGGTGGATTCTCAGATCTCACTGGCCAGCTAGTCTAGCCGATTGGTGAGTGCAGGATCCAGTGTGAGACCTTGTCTCTAATGGTAAGGTGGAAATGCCAGAAAAGACCTGATGTTTACACACACACACACACACACACACACACAAGAAAACAAAAGCAAGCTTCAAGTATACTTTATTTCACAGAGAATAAACCACAAAATAATGTATCCACTTGTGAAATTGTCAGTTTGCACAATTAAATTATTTCGAAGCTATACCTAATCATAAGCATAATGAGAATGTAGACTCTGGGGTCAGAGGTCATCCAGCTCCACCCCAGCCTTGGTTTCCTCACAGATAAATAAGCAAACTCAGTCTTAACTCAGGGCTTAGTCTTAAGACTTAAATGAGGTTCTGTATTTACTACAGTGCCTGGCATGTTAACTGTTCAATAATTAATGATTACCACAATCATCCTTTCCCTTTTTAAGACTCTTTACCCATCTGGAAACTTTTAAGTTTCCCCCCACTGACCTTCCTAATTTTATTCTGGCACACCTCCTGTGACAGGAAGAAGATGAGGAACTGGGAAAGGAAAGACATGCACTTCCATGCTAAGTGATAGAATGTGTGTGGGAGCATTCATTAGCAACAGCAGGGTTGCGTCTTACAATATCCATATATTTCTGAAAGTTTAAAAAAAGATCAATTGGTCTCTGTCTTCATTTCTAGGAGGTTCAAACTATTTTTGCTCTAAGCTCACCTATTTCTCTTCCTTACTGTAACTTGTAGAACTGTACTAGGAGGCTGGGCATGGTGGCCCCTAATTCCAGCACTTGCGAGGCTCTAGGTGGGGGAATGGTAAGTACAGACCAGCTCGTGTTACAGAGTGTGAGTCTGAATCCAGCTTGAGATACTGTGTGACTTTTTCCAGGGAGAGGTGAGACAAATTTACCCCAAGTGGGGCACCAGGACAGGCCAAAGAAATGAGGAGGGAGAATCAATTCTCATCAAGGGTGTAGCCCCTGGTAGGTCAACCACACTTCATTGGTCAGCCTCACACCCATGAGTATATGGGCAGCACAAGTCAATACTTACGGCGGCGTTATAAATAAGCCGGGCAGTGGTGGCACACGCCATTAATCCCAGCACTCGGGAGGCAGAGGCAGGCAGATCTCTGTGAGTTCGAGGCCAGCCTGGTCTACAGAGCGAGTTCCAAGACAGCTAGGGCTGTTACACAGAGAAACCCTGTCTTGAAAAACCAAACAAAAAATAAATAAGCGAAATTAAAAAGGAGACATGAAAATGGGGTAGAAGGGTGGATGGTGGAAAGCGGATCTAGAGGAGCCATGGGGCAGTGAGAGTGAAGATGATCACAGTACATTGTATGCATGTACAAAATTCTCAAAGAAGCAATCAAAAGATTATACATACACACACACACACACACACACACACACATATATATATTGGTTTTTTTGAAGACAGGGTTTCTCTGTGT